CCCGCCGTGGGGGGCGGGGGCGGTGGGGGCAGCCCCCAGGCGCTAACGGAGCGGCTGCGTCCCGAAGGAGAACACCCGGCTGGGTGTCTCTTGCCCGAGTTACATTATCCATTTAAATATTTCATTTTAATTATGTTTCATTTAGTGCCATCCATATCCTTAAACGTCTGCATTTCAGTTCGCACAAATGAAATTCTCCGGGGGGGTTTTACGGCGATCACCACCGGCACTGAGCCCCGGGCTGGGCGACATGATGGTGCTGGCCCCTTTGTTACCTTTGTGGGTGAGCCCATTTCCAACAGAAAACACACTCTTTTCTCATCCCCGCGCGGGAGAAGACGGATGGGGTTTGGCTCCTTGAAGTGCTGAAACAACAACGGGAAAGCAAAGAAGCTGGAAGGCAATCCCTGAAAACGCCAGCCTGCACTGGGAGGGCTGGTGCTGGTTGCGCCGTGCGCGTGTGTTTCCTGAACGTGGGCGCGTTGTCACCGTACGGATCATCGCGTCGATGTGATACCATTGAGCAGCACCTGAGCACACTTTAAAACCAGAAAGAGAAGCTAACGCCTCCAAGGCTTCTAGATTGGTAACTGTGCAAGAGGAGGGAGAAGAAATTTAAGCCTGGAGATTCTGCTAGACGATGTCCCCCTGTGACTAAGAATAAGAGTTAATTTCTGCTGGGGTCTGACGTATTAACTATTCAGTAGCAAGTTTCTTTTTTGGAGAGGAAGAGGGTAAGACCTTCTTACAAAATACTTAGTCTTGAGATTTTTATTTTGGTTTGTACAGGCAACTTGGCTGCAGTTCTGATACTGAAGAACTCCAGCGAGGTTTTCTCCTACAATGGTGCAAATCTCAAAAGCCGCGGACTCAGGTGTGCCTCTCTTTATAAGCAGAAATATGAAAAGTGCAGTCACAAATGTCTCTCAAAAACTTGTGATCCAGCTAGATACCACAGTTAAAATCACACCAGTAAACCAGTGCTGAGTGCCCCATCGATAAAGCACGTCATCAAATATTCAGAGATACAATTTGGCTGACTGCAAATGAGGAAGTGAAGTCGCGTTTCCCCCAGGCTGCTGAACGCTTTCTAGCTGTTTCACTGCCTTCAGACCCAGACAGCGACACAGCAGAGACACCGCCTCCACAGCCGCTTCCCACGCGCGACGCCAGCCTGGCGAAAGGCTTCATTTGCGTCTCCGCATGGAACAGCCCTGCTGTCACCCTTCGGCAACCGTGCGGACCGGGCCCCACCGCCACCATTCCCGCCAACCCGGAGAGCTGCTCAGGGAAGGCACAAAGCTCCCGCGCTCCCCTTCCCGTGCTCCCCTTCCTGCATTCCCCCTCTCCCACTCCAATTCCCGTGCTCCCCTTCCTGCTCACCTTCCCTCTTTCCCCTTCCCGTGTTCTGCTTCCTGCACTCCCGTTCCTGCGCTCCCCTTCCCGTGCTCCTCTTCCCGCTTGCCTTCCCTCTTTCCCCTTCCCACATTCTGCTTCCCGCACTCCCCTTCCTTCGCTCCCCTTCCTGCTCCCCTTCCCACTCCCCTTCCCGTGCTCCCCTTCCCGTGTTCTGCTTCCCGCACTCCCGTTCCTGCGCTCCCCTTCCTTCGCTCCCCTTCCTGCAATCCCCTTCCCGTTTCCCGCACTCCCGTTCCTGCGTTCCCCTTCCTGCGTTCCCCTTCCCGCAATCCCGTTCCCGCGTTCTCCTTCCCGTTTCCCGCGCTCCCGTTTCCCGCGCTCCCCTCCCGCGCCCGGAGCTGTCCCCTCGCCGGGTGCTGAAGCGCGGCGAGCGCGGCGGGGGCCGGGGTTGGGGGCGGGGTTCTTCCCC